TTGAAGAATGTTTATTATCGTTTGGGGGGTCTTTTCCTTGTTTTAAAGTAACGAGTTAGCCGTTAAGGAGCTGATGTCGCAGAAACTCCGGAGTCGGTTGTGTGCGCTAAAATCCACGATTGGTCGATAGTGCCATGACGTCAAAGCCACATGACCTCGCGCGAGAATTTCAAGCAAATTCCTCAGGTGAAACCTGATGTCACGCGTAGAACGAAAGCGATTAAAAAAATACAAGCAAATCAAAAGTCGCCGCATGTCTAAAATTATTTCACTTTATAAAGTGATTAACCTAACTTAAATAAAAACATTCATAATTGTAGGAGGGATTCGAACCCTTCACCCTACGTTTGCGAGCCAGGCACGCTGCCCGCTAGGTTAAGCGAGGCACGCTTGCACGGCTATCAGGTTCCGCTATAGCGTTCTACTCTTAAAGGCGAAGCTTAAGCGTCCTCCAAGTTTTGTCATCAGTCCAAATTGTTATCAATCCCAAGTTCATAAATTAGGAACTACAAGACAGTTAATAATGTTTGCTTCCCTTCTGCTTTATCGTGGGACGTGTTCGTTCCGGTTCTGATTCGATGTGGTCTTCAAAATGCGAAGTGACATTGCATCGCTGTCGTGGAAATTCATGTAACCACTTTTTCAACACCAATCAAACGCACCATGGCATTCTTTGATTGGAGGTCACGTTCAGCATGCCCTATTTTTATGCGATGTTTCGGAACCAAAAATACAGAGATGTCAGTTTTCTACGTTTGTAGGACGCATACTTCAGTGCGGTGATTTGTTCTGAAACTCCGAAGAATCAAGGTGTATCTATATTTGTGGTCCCGCCCTACACTTTGAAAAAGCCCGCATGTTACTTCCCCACAATACGCATCAAGAGCCAATTACTGTCCCTCTATTACGAGTGGAGTATGTTTTCGTAAAAACACCTTGTTTAGGCATAGGTTACCGAGTTTTTGTTACTTTTTATCTGTTTATCGAGTCGTGATAATCGTCAGTCGCAATGTGATGCAACGTTTTGATATTGGCGTTTTCATCTCAAACTCTTTCAGGTTAGGTATACACACTTTTTTCAACACAATGTCACATTAATGGCGATACTTGTGCCTCTCTAGACCACATAATCAACTTCGTATGAATGTGCAATTCTATCTTAAAGTGCTAGGTTTTGCGTAAAGGCACATGCCTGAGACGTAAAATGCAAGTCGGCTTTGTTAATCGCCCCTGAAGAAAACTACAAAAAAACGATGTAAATAAAAAAATCTAAATGATGCATAACGTTTTTTTGGAAGAATGTGCATGAAATGTTACATGCATTCTCAGTCCAACACTGTATGAGTTATTTCTGAATCAACACTATTTTGCTGCGTGCGGTGCCGAGCTACCCCAGTAGATGAACGACCAACTTCTCATGTGCTCCGTTAAACACAGTCTCTTTATATTTAACGTAGGCATGTTTTTATTTTACGTCATGCTCTTTTCAGGTCCTATGAGCCGCGTAACATTTCTCTGCCCCGTGAGGAAATGTCTCGGTTATTTGTTACTAGACGAAACGACCAAAAACACTCTGACGTCTTTTATTAAATTTTTCTAGAGGATCCAAGAAACAGTTTTAACGTTATATCTTATTCATTCCTATCACCGACCCACGCGCGCGGACACACGTATGTGACCGCACCCAAATCACTAGCGCTTGCTCTAACGCTAACCGCATTAGAGCAAACAGGCAGCAGCCCCTAGTTTATCAAATGTCGCAAGACAGCCCGTGGGGGACAATCGAGGAAATGGCTAATCGAACGACAAGGCGAGTTAAAGTCGCCCCGCCACTTGTGTGGGCGCTTGGCACGTCTGTCCGATTGGCTTGCGGTAAAGAGATCGGGCATCCAGAGAACAAGGTACAAAACCTAATGTACCTTGATGGTTTTGTTTATCATAGCGGGAGAAAGTCGGCCAAATGATAGTTACTTATGTTGTTTATCAGAGGCCGACAGTAGGCAATTCAAGCGTAAAAAAAGTTTTTGTAAGTAGAACGCTGGAATATAACTTTCCTGTGGGCGCAACTATTTAAGAAAAAATATTTCTGTCACCTGTTTAACCTGTATTATATTGCGCAACGTTACTTACAAAAAAATAAACGAATCATTCCTTGGTCTGGTAAGGAGTTGCGGGGTCACTAAGTGTTTTAGTAGATCGATACGATGACTCCGATATCGGTACCCGATACTCCGACGCCGCCTTTGCGCATGCGTCGTATCGTCATGATGGCGTATCAGAGATATCGGAACGGTCTGCTAAAATTCTCTATTAGAGCAACCTCCGCAAAGTGAAGTTACCGTCATTGGCTTTCAAATTAGAGTGCCGTTATTTTTGTCTCAAGAACGCCCTTCCAGGTTTGGGCCCAAAATTGCAATTTTTAAGCGAACAAATTACACTTCTAATTTTTATGTATTGGGGTTCAACAAATAATAGTGCACTCTCCTGCGAAGGTTTATCGCAATGTCTAAAGTATTCTAGGAGAAATCACGACGATGCCAAATCACACATTTTGCATACATGAACTTTCGACGTTTTCTATTTTCTAATTGCTGTAACTCTGCACCGGTAATGCCTACAATGATGATTATACTCCCATTGGAAAGAGCAATTCCTAACAATTTCAGTACCTCAAACATCATTGTTCGGGAGTAATGACTATGCGGGTAAGAACACTACAAGAGTCCAGCTTTCACAGGGAAGAGGCACTTGCATGGACAAGAATCGGAAAGTCCATCCTAATATAAAAAGCCGGAACTAAAACGGACATTCGTTTATAGGAAGCCACGTGGGTTCGTCTGCTTGGCTTCCCAACGATGCTCGCCCCACACACAATCTGAAGCTGTTTCGTTGATCACAAGCATATCAAATTCCTCACTCGTTTTGCAGTCAATGTCCGGAGCCCAATGGCACTCGAAAAAAACGTTCGAAGCACGAACTCACTGTTAAGGCCATGCGGGAGATTAGGTGAAAGCGAAAGGCACCACATATGATCTTTGTACCTTTTGGTTTCTACCACCGGGAGTAAAATAATAATAATAAAGAGTGGTGTGGCAACTTGGACTAGGTTTTTCTCAGCTTTATTTTTATTGCAACAACTTTCAGTTTAGGAATTCTATCATTTCAATGCATTGCGGAATTGATTCTTCGCTTTCAATGCTTCTGAATTGAAAGTTAATAAAAAAAGGCGGATGGCTATTTATGTTTCCATGAAATGAAGCTTTTATTGCCAATAAGGAGGTCTTTGATTAACAGAAAATGCCCCATAGTGTGGAACGTTGTTTTGAAACGTACTCAGAAAAAACGCAGATTTAATTGTAAAAACAAATAGATATCCGCTCTTTTCAAATGTTTTTTAGTGGAGGTCAAAACTTAGAAATGTTCTGTATTTTACAGCATTTTTATATATCTTTTTTGGGCTAAGTGAGGTGGCTTTTCTGAGTACATCTATGCCTCCTCATGTACCTTGTCGGAAAATTGTCCTACAGAGATAAAGCTTTGTACGGTGAATATAGATAAGTAGATTAATAAGCCCTCCAAATTTCATAAATATTGAGATACCGGTTTGAGACTCGACACTGCTAGCTGGTGTCACTCTTTAAGAATGATTGTGTTCTTTGGTATATTAGTGGTGAGACATTATTTTATGTAAAAAAATGGATCACTGTAGCTGCAGTTCGTACACTGACGTAGTATTCAACAACTCTTTCCAAAAATGCAAACCAGCGCGCAAAGAACGAAGACAAAGTACGACGCTAAACAGGACAACCGCTGACCCCCAACACCCAACTCACCCACGTTGCCATCTTGATTCAACACTTTGCTGGGAAGATTCAATCAGTTTCATGAGAGTTAGTAACAGAATTTATTGGTTAACATAATGCGATATTAAGTCATCACACTCCTGAATTCTGAAAGAACATAACAGAATTCTGGATTTATATAATTAATTACATGAGTCTTGGTGGGTAGAACACTTTACACATTCTTGAAAGCTCCAGTGATCGACAAAGGTTTCGTCGAGGACGAGACAAGAATCCACTCACCTGACATGTCACTTGCTTGGAAGCCAACTTGTTTAGTAGTGAGCGAATACGTGTTGACCGCTTAAAATCTCAATGAGCCCGAAATCTAGAGTGTGCTGTCTGTGTTCTATGCCCGGCTGTTTCGACATAAAAATCAACAAAAAAACATTGGTTTAAGTCGAGCTTCATATTGCATTCAAGCCATGGCTTTTATTCGCTGTGAAGAATCTTATATTTATATGTAGGGGACTAGGACATCGTAACCGAAGACGGTCAAAGTTCGAGTAAGGTACTTTTTCCCAACGAACTTGAGTGTTCGATCACGGGGCACACATCACTCTCTTCGACTTGTGGCACAGGGTTCCATACGCGCACTTCCGTCGCACACTCTCGCATTAGCACCAGCGGGAAGAAGAGCAGACACCACTTTACACTCATGCGGCCGCTCTGCACACCGAACATTGTATACTGAACTCACAAGCCTTTAGAACTTAAGCGGATTTAAAAATAAATGTTTAAAAAAGTTTGTTCCTTCAAGTACAGCCATTTCCTTTATAAAAATCTATCGAATAATTAGGGTGACACACATTTCCCGCGTTGTATGAATAATAAAAACCGAGAACCGATTCTTCCGGTAATTCGATCATTTAGGTTTGATCATTCATTGTCTTAATACTTTCAAGCGCTCCTTTCAATTTTAGGCCGATCAGAAAACCGTTTCCGCTAAGCATTTCAAGAAGGTCCTCTATTTGAGATTCTTCTTAAATTGCGTGCGTAAACAATTTGTAGTTTCTCACGTTACTCAATCAAACACAGACTAAGGGGCAGCTTCTGTCGATTCCTTTAGCTCCTAGACAATCGCCTTTTTCACGCTTCCTGCCATGCCAAGTAGAAAAAGGAAGTAAAATTAATAAGTTTTTTTTTTATATAAAAATAATTGCGGCGTAAGAGACCCTTCGCTCACGGGATGTAGCCCAGTTCCGAATGCAGGTTGGTGTTGGACCACCGCTTGAATCCGTCCTTGGTGAGGCCGTGTTCCACGTGGATGGTGGTCACGTCCCCGGCCACATGATGACTGATCTCGGAGTCGGACTTCCTCCTCTGACGTCTCGGCGCGCACGGCACAACCTCATGCGTCGTCTTCCGCTCCTCGAGACCGGAATCGGACTCGTCGCTCGGCCGTCGTTCCCCCTTCTTGCGTCTGCGAGGTCTCTGTGGCGCCCCCACGTACACCACACCGCTCTTGGACGGAAACGCGGACCGCAGATCATGGAAGCTCCAGGACAGACGCCTTCTCTTCTTCCGCTTCGGCCTGGTATTGCCATCGGGACTGAGGCACACTTCCGGGGTCGCCTCGGGATCCACTTGCTCCTTCCGACGTGACCTCATACGGCTGAAGAGCTTACCCGTTTTCGCCCTGGCACGCGTCAGCGAGGACAAGCTGAGCTTCTTGAGGTTTGACAGGAAGCCTGGCTTGTTGTGCCTCTTGGGCGGTGGCTGTTCCCAGCGGATCATCTTGGCGGTGCGCTGGTTCTTTTCGACCGGCTGCAATGTCGACGTGACCCTGGAGGAGCCCGAGCAGTTGCTCAGGGAGGCCCAGTCCCGGACGTGGCCGTGCTTGTTGAACGTTATCACTCCTGGAGTAGTGAGCATTCCCCGACTCGTTCCGTCGTACTGAACCACGTCGATGACCACTTTGCCGTTGGGGCTTCCGCGGAGGGAAGACGTCGTGGACGTACACGCATTCTTGGTCTTCTTCGGTGACTCTCGCCGCTTCACGGCGTGCTGGTGGTGGTGTATCTGGGCGCGGGTGACAAGCTCTCTGCGGTGGTCTTCGGCGCGGCCCCTAACCCTGTCAGTGACGTACGAGTCGGTGGTGGTAGATGCGCGACGTCGTGCCCATGGCGCGTCCGACTCGCACTCACTGCTTAAATTCATGGTCTCCGACATGGTCATCTGGCTTCGACTGGGTCTGCGGCTTGGCACCAGAGTATCGCGGCTGGAACTACATTCAGAGCAGGCCGACGAGAAATCGCACGAGCAGCAGCAATCCGAATCGCAACAAGCGTTCGTCATGGTGCTGGCTTCACGGGTTTGGCAGCAGGAGTCTGAATGATATCCAGAGAGGGAACTGTCGGAGACGCCTCCACCCACCGTCAGGCCGTTAAGCTTCGCGTGAGGCTTGACCTCCTCGGGCGTGATGAGCGGCTCCTTGACAGGCACCCTACTTGTATCTTTGAGGAAGTACGTGTACGACGTTACCTTTGTCTTCTGCGCGGAAGTGGAGGTCGTCGGACCGATGTTCTGTCCGAAGTAATACGTCGACTGTGGAGGCCGGGGTGGGCTTTTTGGCGGCTCCGGTTCTTGTTGGGTCAAGTCTTCTTTGGATGCTTTCGCACTTTTAGATTTAGACGAAAAGTAACCGGTGTCGTTGGTAGGGGTCTGCGTTGAAGAAGTGGATTCGTCTGAAGACTTTCTGTCCCCAGACTTAACCACGTTCTGGAAAATGAGGCCATCCTTGTGACTCGAAGTTTGCAGTACGACATCTTTTGCGATTATATTATCCGGACTCACGGTTACGTTACCATTAGAAGAGTATGAAAAATCAGAGGCAGTTGGTCTTGGTACGGCAGAACCGCCAAATTTTCCAGAAAGGTCCCTATATTTGTACGAGCTCGACTTTCTTCGCACTCTTCTTTTCCGCTCCTCGCTGGCTGATGACTTTGACTCTGTGTCCGTCCTCCTTGAAGACCTCTTGGACGTTCGTTTTGGAGATTTAACTCTCCTGTCGATTTCTTGGTAATATCCACTCGCAGATGCTGTCACTGACGACTGCGCCTCGTCTATCGATGAGGTGAGCTTGCGACCGCTGAAGTTTCGCACGGTGTAGGATGACGTACAAGAGGTGAGGTCGCTGTAATCATCGGGCCTCTTGCCGACGATAGGGGTGGGTCGCGGCCTGTCGAGCACGACGAGCGTGTCCCTAGCCTCGCCCAGCGATGAGCAGATGAGCAGCGCATCCTCGGCTGAGGCGCAGAGGAAACCATGACATTCCCACGTGGAAGGTGCAGCCACTTGCCGAAAGAGACAGGCGAACACGGGTGGGTGCGCCAGTCCGACCAGGAACCTACGCTTGTTGGGCAACCCTGAATACCAGGATCGGTCGACCACATCCTCGGAGCAGGCCAGTGGCACGAAGGCGGCACCGATGGAACGTCGCTTTGCCAGCCTAGCGCTGAACCGAAGCGCAGCCCAGAGGACCACATTGGCGGCTGGAGTGATGACCCGCGTGACGGCTGTGACGGCGCGGCCTGTTTCCGGATCCTCGAGGGCTTCGGCCACGACCAGTCCATAGTGCGACACATCCAACCGCTGCGTGAGGGCAAGCGGGTGCACCGAGCGGTGGTCTTCACCCTTGCGTCGCGCCGCACTGTACAAGTCCAACAGGGGCCTCTGGAGCGCCTTGAGCCCACGCTGCTTGGCCCTGGACTGGAACCGGGTGCAACCGAGGTAACGCACGCAGAAGCTCCTGGCGGAGTCCTCGGCGGACACCAACTCCTCTCGTCGCTTAAACATAACAGGGAACGACACTTTCACGGGGCAAAACACACTTCACATATCCTCCGGCGGCACAGCACAGCGTGGTCCACGAAGACAGCGGACGGGTGTCGGTGCCGGCTCCCGTGGGAGCCGTCGTCCACTCAGCCGCCGGCGCCTCGCTGCTTCTGGTAATCCGGTGGGTGGCGGTTCCCTTGCGTCGAGGCAAGGTCCCGAAGCTGGTGTGGCGGTCGAGACTGCTCTTGGTCGTCGCCGGGGAAGAGCGCCGTGCTTGGCAACGTGCCTCGGCGGGCGCACATCATCTTCGCGGCCGGCGCGGAGCTCAGCTGTCCCACATCGCGGCGACGGTGGCGGCGGACGTTCTGACGGCCGCGCGGTCGTGGGAAGCGGTTGCGCCACGGCGACCGCTCTTTCTCGGCGTGGAACTGGATTTCTCAGGGACGGCCCTCCGCGCCTCGGAGGGCTCCCTCGCGCCGCTCGCCGCTGCTGCGGGGAAAGCGAGCTAATAGAGCGGGCGAAAGTGACCCGCCGAGGGAAAAAGAGACGCGCGAAGGCGACCACCCACAGCTCTGCCTCGCGCTATGCTGACCACGTATACAAGGACCTTCCCGAGTCTTTTTTTTTTTTTTTTTGGTCAAACGACAGAACGTACGAGGAATGTGCAAGGCTCCAGGAAATTCACGAGGCCGTTCTGAAGAGAAAAAAAAAAGGAAATCCCGTTATAATCTCAGAATACATGGTAGCGGTGCTATGACAAAAGAAGAACTGTTCAGCTCAGTTTAGTTTTATTACCTCAGAGGTGCTCAAGAGAGCACTTTATATGAAGGGGGGAAGTACCTGCAATAAAGTAAACAACAATAAAATAAAAGCAAAACTCGAAAAAAAATAACACTGTACAGACTTCACAAAAATAAATCACATATTTCAGGGAATTAGCTTTTTTTTTTTTTTTTTTTTTTTCAATTTGGCGGACAATGTGCATGGGCAATGAATTCCAGTCGGCAGTGGCAGGAGAGACTAAAGGGTTTTGAAATTTGTTAGTTCTGGACAAGGAGGCTGAACATTAAGAGGATGATCAAGGCGCTTCGAAATGTAAGATGGGTTCTGGAGATGTATTCTGCGAAACTCAGATGATGAACAGTAGTAAATGCCATGAAAGAAAACAAGACGGGCAATTTTGGTTCTGTCGGTTAATAATCTTAAACCTCGTTTTTTGTTTTTTAATAACTGTGACATTCGAGGTATACGAGTATTCATGAGTAATGTAACGTGATGCTTTATTTTGTATTGATTCGAGCTTGTTGATAAGATATGCTTGATGAGGACACCAGATGATGTTAGCGTATTCTAGTTTTGACCTGAGGAATGTTTTATATGCGGTCAGTTTTAGTCTTTGATGAGCGAAAAAGATTGCGTTTAATGTATTCTAGTGCTTTACACGCACCGGAGACGGTGTTATTGACCTGTTCATTCCAAGTGAGGTCCCCTCCAAATGTGACCTCTAGGTACTTGTAAGTACTAACTTTCTCTTTGTTTGCGTGGTTGAGTGTATATTATCTTAGTGATGGAGAGGGTCGACTGGAAAATGATACATCTTTAGTTTGATTTGTATTTATGTTTAGTTGCCATGTGTTGCACCAAAGTGAAATTATGTTCTGATTATTTTGTAATAGTACTTGATCCTTAGGGTTAGTGATGTGACGATAAACAACATAGTCATCCGCAAAGACTCATATATTGGAGGATAAGTTGAGCGGGAGGTATTTAATATATATTAGAAATACAACTGGTCCCAGGACGCTGTCCTGTGGAACCCCCGATTTTACTGGTGATTTGGGAGAGTTTCTCTTCCCAACATACGTAGCTTGATTACGGTAATGAGAAAGTTAGCAATCCACTGTATGATAACGGGATAAATGTTTAGTTGAGTTAGCTTATAGAGCAAATGTTGATGGGGTATGGTATCGAAGGCTTTAACAAAGTCAATAAAAGGGCATCAGTAGTTCTAGGAGCATGGATATTGTCGTGCAAATTAGTAGCAAATTCAAAAAGTTGAATTTCGCCCAAAAAAACCTTTCCTAAAGCCATGTTTATTAGTGCAGAGAAAATGATGGTCATATAAATAGCTAATAACATGGGAGTGCAAAATATTCGCCATAAGTTTACTTGGTATGCTTGTTAAGGATATTGGTCTATAATTACATACATTATTTTATCTCCAAATTTAAAAATTCGCAACACTTTTCCAAACCTTCAGTCTGCCAGAAGGTACTTTTGTTTTATTGACCGCTTGAAAATAAAATAAAGCAAATGAGAAGACATTGGTCGGGTTATTTTAAAAAGGTTTGGACGTATTTCGTAATCTCCGGGTGCTGAGCTTGAAAGTCGGTCAATGCTGACCAAAATTCCGTCTTCTGTAAAGGTGACAGGCTCACATAATACAGTAGGCGAAACACATATTGAATCACATTTTAATGGAAACAGTTCCTCGATAAATAGAGATACAAAATACTCATTAAAGACGGTTGCTGATTCGTGGTGGACGAGCTCCTGTGATCATTATAGATATTGGGCAAAGGTTGCTCTTGCTTGAGACCAATAGAGTTCCAAAATTTTTGAGGATTAGTTTTCTATAAATTTAGGAGATCACCTATGTAATGCTTGTTTTTTGCCTTCTTAATTTCTAATTTGCATTCCTTGTAGCACTCGTTATACTTAGACCAAACTGAAGCATAGTCCCTTAACTTCGCTTTCGAAAAGATACGTTTCTTTTCGTTAAATAATCTCTTTAGCCTGTCAGTAAACCACGGCCGTTCAGCATTCCATTTTAGCACAATTTTTGGGAATGAAAGTAGATTTCAGTCTTTTGAACTTTATTTTTAGCATGTTCCAGTTCGCTTCAACTGATCTTTTATCAAAATCACAGAGGGATGTAGACGCGAAACCTTGAAAAGAAGCAACAAGGGCGCTTTCGTCGATCTTACTGTATAGTCATAAATTACGTTTCGTGCTGTAAATTTATACTCATTCAGAAGTCGCGTTTCAACAAAGAACAATATTATGGTCACTGACTTTATCAAGAACATGGACTGCCTTAATATCATAAGGGGAAGATGCAAAAACTAAGAGTAGCATTTTTTCTGGTGGGCTCAGTCATGACTACAAAAAGATTAAAAACGCTGATCATATCCAGAAAGTTTGAGTCTTCAACTGGGTTGGAACATGAAGTTTCAATTTTGCCTTCTTTCCAGTTAACACCAGGGTAGTTAAAGCCACCGCCTAGCATTATGCAAAAATTAGGGTTGCGATATATCCTACAATGAGAAACCTTGAGACCAGGAACACAAGGGACAAGGACAACAAATATGAGACGGTGTTGTCCTTGTCTGTCCTGTTCATGGTCTCAAGGTTTCTCATTATGTATGTTCACCAGCTCGCCTGCGTTTTGACTCTCATTTCATAACGATATAAGATATTTTCAATTCAATCAAACAATTTTTCTAAAAAACTGCTGTCTCTTCCTGGTGGGCGGTAGCAGGCGCCAACATCAAGTCGCGAACGAGGGAATTCTAATCGGATTCATTCAGGTCGCTATTTACAGAGATTGGTATCGCAGTAACGTATTTACTAGCAACAATTAAGAGCCCTCCCCCCGCTTTTTCCGGTGACAATGTACGATCTCTACGAAACAGATAGAACGATCCCCTTAGAGAGAGCTCCTCGTTGAGCCCTTGAGGAGTTAACCATGCTTCGGTGTTATTACTATTTTGGCATTGATATCATCAATTGTGGACGCAACAACCTCTCGTTTAGAAACCAGACTACGAAAGATAACAAGAATGAATGCTACATCTATCCATTTTTGTTTGCGTGTTATCCTATGCTATTGTTTAGACCTGTTATCAATATTAAATTGCCTCAGCAAAATAACCTTGTCATCCTGTGGTGAATAGGCGCACTGTTTGCCGTCCGCGTAGATCTTATCATAAACAAGTCTGACTTTCATGTTTCTTTCCTTAAATTGCTGACTAAACTGCCATAGCTTACTACGATGAAGACGCGTTCGAGGTGTAAAATCTTCCGAAATTGAAACACGTGGTGTGCTTACATTTTTTAGTTTGTATGCATTCTGCATTTGTCAGAACATCCTGCCTACTTCGGTAATCCAAGAAGCTGACAACAATAGGACGTGCTGGGTCACCACGTTTCTTGCCTGCACGAGTGCACGATCTATCGCACCGACCTGGAAGCCCAAATAGCTTTTAAAAACTCCCTGATAGTACTCGCTGTTTGGTCCCACATCTCGTTCAGTTTTTACGGGAGGCCCTGGAAAATCAGGTCATTTCTTCTCATCAGATTGTTTAGGTCGTCGATTCCAGATTCGAGAGAGCAGTATTTTTCGCGTGAGCAATCGAGTTTAGCCTTGAAATCCTGAACAGTTGCCTCACAAACGGTCTTTCTTTAATTTGTGTTATCTTTGAATCTGTTTTTCTAAAGTCTTAACTTTGTGTTTAATTTCGCCAATTCCCAAACATCGCATCCAAACTTTCGCGAGTTTCTTTTCGATTCTCTTCATTTGTTTCCGCAAACTTTTAAAGCATCTTATCTAGTTTCTCATTACCAGGTCCAGAATTTAGTTCAACGTCTCTGGAGAGTCCTAGCAATCCCCTCTAAAAAGAAGGCACGTGTATTGTGGAGCCGAAAGAAACCAATCGTAAATAACTGAAAGTACGTTCCGAAACTTATAGCAACATGTTAGTGTACAGTCTTTCGATAGGGCACGGCACTTAAAAAACAATCAGTTACCAGTGCGTTTGCATTCAGCATTTTTCAAATAACTGACCTGAGTTGTGAAGCATGTCAGATGCGGCATCGCTGAGTTGTGCCCCGGTGGTTGTAGGCAGGGTAGCTCCTTTTAACGGCTGTCCATCGGTGGAGAGGGAATTTTCGAACGACGCGCCACCATCCAGTGATCTTCAACACGGTGAGGATAGCACCATGGCTGTGCCATCTTGATGTTGTTGGATAAGGAATTTGGGTAGAGCACGTGCGCGTCCGGCCATG